TAACATAAACAGTATATCACTGTGTCACATGACACACGCATTTAGGTAGACCTGATTGATATATTTTGGTAATTACTTTTTTGTTGTTCCGTGCTCTCTGTTTTCGTTTTAATTTCTCTAGTTGTAGATAATTATCATTATTTCGATCTGGCACACGAATTGACCTTAATTACACCGTTCATAAATCAACAGGCTGTCCATTTAAGAAATATTAAAAATTCCCGGCTGATGCATTGGATCGCTGTAATATATGTACTACTTAAACAACTACTGAACTAGTATACTTAAAACTTTCTTTTATCACATGTTTGTTCTGCACGTCTAACGTTATTATTTATATCAAATTGATCATGCCTGTAAACTGGCGTGAATTTTGTGATTATTATTTTTTAGAATATAAAATTATTGTTATTACAACTACTCGCAGTGGTTAAGGCACTACCGCGCGAATTTAACAGGTACATAACACTCAGCATGCTTACTATTGATGTTTCTGAACCCTACGAAACACTTAAACGATTTATCCTTAAACACAGAGACCTAACTGATCAACAAAGGTTAGATTAACTCCTCATTAACATCGACCTGCAACGCGGTTCTGCGACAGGCATGTTGCAAAGAATGAGAGAGGTTATCGTACAAAGAACCTTCAATGGCGGCCTATTTAAACAAATTTTCTTGTCCAAACTTCCTCAACAGGTGCAAGCTGTGCTTGTCTCGTCCCACAACAACGCCTTAGACGAGTTAGCTGCATCTGTCGACCGCATTTTAGAAATCACAAAATCCTCTAATACCGATGTTCTTTCAGTCAAAGAAAAGCCTCTAACGACCCAGAATGATATAACAGAGTTATATCATACACTTACGCTTTATCTTAATTTTTATAACGACCGTAAGCGATCACACACCCCACGTAGAAGCACTTCATGTAAGCGATCTGTCTCTGGCCTATGAGAGAAGGATAACCACGACTGGTGCTGGTATCATAACCAGTATGGAAAATCCTCCGGAAATTGCAGAAGACCCTGCAATTTTCCCAACACGAAACCGACTGACTCGAAAAACAACTCGGGAAACTTCCAAGCCGGCACGCGTTCACGGCAATCGTAGTCGGCGAACATAGCCGTCTGTTATACGTCACAGATGTGATAATGAAAGTTCGCTGCCCCGTCGATACTGGCGCAGAAATTAGCGTTATTCCTGCGCATCCTAACGACCAGCTTCATGGATCGGTTTTAAATCTACAGGCGGCAAATGGAAATCCTACGCTACATATGGTAGAAGGTACGTTTACCCTAACTCAAATCCATTCACTGGATCTTTGTTGTTGCAGGTGTTTCTGCCGATCATTGGCATATGCCTCCTACAACACCGCAATCTACTCATCGATACGCGTAAGCGGGGGCCAGTAGATAGAAACACTAATTTATCTGTCTGCGTAACTTCTTTTTCAGGTTGCAGATTATCTCCAGTCACAATTAAGCACACGATAGACTCATTCTATCAACCACTACTCATTAAGTATTATGGGATACACCAACCTCAACCGAAATTGCCGTGCGTAGTGAGCAACGTTACACATCACATCACGACTACAGGACCACCTGTATTCTCTAAAGCACAACGACAAGCTCCCGAAAAGCTAAGGTTGGCCACAAAAGAATTCGACCACACGATAGACTTAGGAATCGTACGACCGTCAAACAGCCCATGGGCATCTCCCTTGCACATGGTCCCTAAAAAGGACAGCAACGATTGGCGTCCAACTGATGACTATCGGCGATTGAATGCAAAAACCATTCCCGATCGTTACCCGTTGCTTCACATTCACGATTTGACAGCTACCTTGAAAGGTACAACTGTCTTTTCGAAAATCGACTTGGTTAAAGCGTATAACCATATCCCCATGGCCAAAGATGACATACTGAAAACCGCCATCATTACTCCCTTCGGACTCTATGAATTTTTGCGAATGCCTTTAGCTCTAAGAAACGCTGCTCAAACATTCCAAAGATTCATAGACGACGTTTTTCGAGGTCTCAACTTCGTACATGCGTATGTTGACGACTGTTTAATAGCTAGTCCGGACAGAGAATCGCACCTCCAGCATCCGAATCTTGTTTTCTAACGACTACAAAAACATGGCATTACTGTAAACATTTAGAAACGCCAAATCGGGACCGACTCATTAGACTTCCTAGGACACACTATAGATTCTCAAGGCATTCGACCCCTTAGGACCAAAGTAGTGGCAATTCTAGATTACCCAGAACCGACGACGATCAAGCAACTACGAACGTTTAACGGCCTTGTAAGTTTCTATAGACTATTCATGCCTAAATGCGCTTTATTCATGAAACCGCTAACCGACCAACTTCGTGGAAATGTGAAATGCATCACTCTGGACGACGCCTCATGAAAAGCATTCTCCACAGTTAAGGAACTTGTTGCGAAAGCAACAATGCTTGCACATTAGGACACCCAAGCACCCATTAGTATCTCAGTAGACGCATCCGACCCAGCAATCGGGGGAGTCTTACAACAATGGGTTAACAACTCCTGGCAACCATTGGCATTTTTCTCTAGACGGTCGCTAGACACGGAATCGAGGCACAGCACATTCGGTAGGGAATCCTGGCTAAGTATTGTGCTGTAGGACATTTTCAACACTCCATTGAAGTCAAAGAATTCACTATTTTTACTGACCATAAGTCGCTTACTCTCTCTTCGAGCTCCTCTTCGGACAAGTACTCACCTCGTGAGTCTCGACAACTGGACTACATTTCGCAGTTTACTTCAGAAATTCAACACATTTCTGGAGCAAACAATGTAGTTGCAGACGCCTTGTCTCGGATAACTTCCTTGAACAGTTTCCAAACAATCGACCTTCTTAAACTCGCCGAGCTTCAAAAAGAAGACACTGATGTTCAGCACGAGTTATCGTCTACAACACTTAAGCTATGCATCAAACAGTTGGGAACAGGTAAGGAAACCTTACTTTGTGACACATCCATAGGTAGGGATCGCTCAATCGTGCCAAAACATTATCGACGCAACGTCTTCAATACGTTGCACAAACTTTCTCATCCAGGTGTTCGTGCAACCATCAGGCTTATAGCAGCATGGTGGGTAGCAAACTTCGGCTGCCCTTCAACCATCACTACAGACCGCGGACGCCAATTCAAATCTGAACTCTTCCGTTGTCTGACCGCACTATTAGGAATCACTCGCTTCCGAACGACTTCCTACCACCCACAAGCAAACGGGTTGGTAGAACGCTTTCACCGACAACTAAAAGCTTCACTATCAGCTGCAACATTTCACAGTAGACCGATGCTCTTCCACTCGTCTTACTAGGTATCCGCAATGCAGTGAAAGCTGACATTGGATACACTGGGCTCAGCTGGTTTATGGAACGACACTTCGACTTTCAGGAGACTTCGTGAATCCTTCATGTTCTTCAATGAGCATGGATCTAACCTCCTACACGAACAGGCTTACAAATGCAATGCGTTCAGTTAAACTTGTTTCCACTCGACCACAATCAACCGACGTTTTCGTTCAACCTGACTCACGATACAGTACACACGCTTTCGTTCGTCGAGACTCACATCGACGACCTCTCGAATCAGCATACGAAGGATGCTTCAAAGTTCTTCAAGGCGAACCTAAGTACTATATAGTCGATAACAACAGAACTAACGACAGCATCAGCATCGATCACCTCAAAGCAGCGTATTTAGAAGGAAATCCTATCTACGTCGATTTCACTTCGGTACAATCGAACGACACGGCTCCTACACTTATAATACCTCATTCAACAGCCAACACGCACGACGATACTTCGGCAATTTCATAAAATAAACTGAAAACAACGCGTTCTGGAAGAAGAGTAAGACTTCCAGAACCTTTGAACGATTACTGCACGTAAGATACTAGTTGACATTTGATATCATCTCGATTTTTCTTTGTACTATATATAATATATAAAAACCAATTTTAATATGCTTATATACACATATTTTTATCCCAAAGAAACAAAAAGACCATTTTGCAAAAACCCTTTTTCACGCTATTACGTGTGCATGAGTTTATTTTCCTTTTCTCTCCCGCTTTGTGTTTTTACGCGCTTACGAGTGTATTTCGACATGCACTTACAAATTTTTTTCTTTTCCAGTACGGCTAGAAAAGGCGATAAAAAGAACGATGAAGTTTACGAGGAAAGGAACTTTCCATCGTACTTTTTCTTTTTTTACTATATTGTGCTTCATAGTCCTTTATAGCAAAGAAAGACGACCAGACGCTGTTAAGCATAGCAAGCTGTCAGAAGAGTGTTTACCAACCACAAATTCGTTGGGTTTAAACTTTTATATATCTTCGAACCTCCTCGCTTCTGTCTTTTGATTTCACCTGGTGGGTATGATTCATATTAGGTGTTACTGGATAGAGCGTTGTCAAACTCCAAATACCTGTGGCATCTTCAAACTTTCCTCATAATCTTCGACAGTTTCATTCGTTTCCACTTAGTGTACGAAAATATAATATTTTCTTCCTCATTTCGAAAGGATAAGGACACTGTGGAGCGTATCCAAGGGCAAGCCACGAAATGAAATCTGAAACTTATTAATAGTAACCAAATGCTGGAATTCGCTGCTGGCTGAGCTAGTGTAAGTGACTTCCCGGGAGTTCTTTAAGAGGTAGCTTCTTAAAAACTAACGATAGTGCTTATTATGGTTTACCGATTTCTTTTTCCTCTTTTATCGATAATATACCTAGGTTCCTGCCCGAAGGTATTGGTGATCAACAGACACTAGACACGGAAGCCCATTAAACGACAGCTTCTTATATTCTGTCCACAACCAGTAGAATTATTTAAGTGAAGAGTTTCACTATGAAGTTTAAGGGTATGTGTGAATAATTTTATGTTACATATACTCATATAAAGAGCACAAAGGGTAAAGCTTTTCTATAAATATGCATATATGCATACATATTGCGCGCTATTTAAAAAGGACAGTGGTATTCTTTCTCGTTGAGTTAATTAACTGTTTTGATCGTAAATTACGCATCAAAACTACTGTTTACACTTTAATTGCATCTACCCCAGTTAAAGTGATATTGTATTGAGTTTTTCGATTTTGCTTCTGTGTATTTATTGCATCGAAGCATACTTGGTCGACTTTTACTTGGTTTATTTAGTTAAGGTTTGAAAATCCTTCTACATATCCTGTTTTCGTCACCGTTCTAGTTGATTTTCAAGATGGCTAGGTCTACTCATAAATGTGGACAACCATACTGCTTATTTCCCGTGGATGAAGGGATGCAATGTGATGAGTGTAATAAGTGGTTCCATAAGATGTGCACCCGATTAAGCCCCACTGCATATAAAAGGTGTTCAAAGCCCAACTCTCATTGGCTTTGTAGTTTTTGTTGCTCGAGCAAAACATTGCTTATCCAGGAAGCAATTAGTCTCCTGGTGTTGGCTAATAAGAAGGTTGATGAGGGCTGTACTGATAACATTGGTACGGATGGCGAAGATTGCGTTAGTGTCGTAAGTGCTATCACGGCGCAAGCCAGACATCTACCTGTGCAACCCACAGTTAAACGTTCTCCCCCGAAACGATCAGTGAGTGACACGTCATTAGACGTTGGTGGCCATATTGCTACAGCAGCAACCGGTGACCCAGATAAAACAATTACTGTCCCGAGTTGTTCTAATGTAGACGTTTCGACTGATGGAAAATGGATGACGCGAAAACGCAGAAGAGTAGGAAAGATAGCTAAAACTAATGACTGTTTACTTGGTAAGTCCTTGGTGGACTCTCAGACCAATCCGCCAAAGTCTCATAGTAAAGCTTCGTCTGACATTGTTGTGAGTCATTCGCTTGACTCCCAGGACTCTGTTAAAATAAAAACTAATCGTAAGCTACCAGTAGTTAAAATACAGGATCTAACGTCACGGTCGAAAGCTGTGAACACAGTTTCAAAAGAAGCTAAACCCATCCCTAGTTTAATTATTTGGAATCTAGAGGAGTCGAAAGACAACGACCCTGCTAAAAGACACGCACATGACCTACAGTTAGTGGAGTCTGTGGTCAGGAATGTACTACCTGAAGAGGTTTCAGGGGTACATATTACAAAAGTAATACGACTTGGTAAATGGGTTGGAGGCGAGACCCAACCAAGAAGGATCCTGAAGCTGGTTCTCGGGAGTTTCGAAGAAAGAGACATATTATTGAAAAGCGCACAAAAAACTCGTGCCTCAAATATCCGTATTCGACCAGATTGGCCGCTTGAGGATCGAATCAAGTGGAAGAATGCTCTTACGGAGTTGAGGACTCGCAAATTAAATGGCGAAAATAACCTTACCATTAAGGGTTTTCGGGTAGTCAGGTCTTGGAAGCCAATGCTTCCGAGGCCTGTATGGGTAGAACGATTGATTTCCAAAACACCTTAAGTGTGTGCTACACGAACGCTCGTAGTCTTAGAAATAAAACGTCCGAGCTAAGTCTGATGGTGCAAGAATTATGTCCCGATATAATCGTTGTTACAGAAACTTGGTTCACCGTTGATATAGACTGTTCTCCTTTCATTGCTGGTTATATCTGTATCAGAAGTGATAGAGTTTCAAGTCGCAAGGGGGAGGTATAATATTTTACGTTAGGGATCACTTTCGTATACAATCAACCATATCGGAGGCTCATATCAGTGGCACATGTGAGGTTGCATGTTGTAAGATTAAATCTAGAAATGGGTTAGTGACTATAGGGGGAATATACCGTAGTCCGTCTTGTCTGGCTGACGACTTTATCCTAAGACACATCTGTTCTTGGAGTATGGCAGAATGTTGTCTCATCATTGGGGACTTCAACGCACCGCATATCAACTGGATAGAGCTTACAGCTCCAGGTAGTGGTTTCGATAGCGACCTTTTATCTACCGTTATTCAGTGTGCACTTGTACAATGTATCACAAAACCGACACATATTGATTTGCATCATGTTCCGTCACTGCTGGACCTCGCCCTCACCCACCACTCTGAGGATGTCTTTGATATCCAGCACCTTCCTCCACTAGTGAACAGTGATCACGTTGTAATTCACTTTAAGTTTAGGACACATGGTATACAATTCGTATCTGCTCCACCCCGTCCCAATATCTGGCGAGCTAATATTCCGGAAATCAGAAACCGTGCTATCTCGACCGATTGGTCGGTCGACGCGGATGGATTGATCGAAGATGAATGGAATAAGTTTAAGGCTACATTCGAGTCCGTAACGTCGCCGTTTATCCCATGGTCAGCACGTAAGCTATCACATTGCCCTCCATGGATTAATAAGGAAACCCGGAAGCTGTTAAAGCGTAGGAAACATTTCTGGGACTTATTCTTGTTGACAGGTCATGCACCATTTAAGCGTGAGTATCAAAAATACCGTAATATCTGTAAGAAAACCATAGCGAAATCCCGTACCACTTACGAACGACAGTTAGTATATGATAGCCGTACTTGTCCGAAACGATTGTTTTCGTATGTTAAACGGCAAATGAAACGTAGTGATGGTATTCCCCCGTTGCTGTTACACGAAAATTCAGAATTACTAGCTGAATCAGATCGAGCAAAAGCTGAGACTTTTTCAGATTATTTTAGCGAAGTCTTCTCTACGTTTATTGTAACAAATACTTGTCCCACTCACACCGAGATACCAACCATTGAATCCGTACAGGTGACTGAGGAAACTGTCCTTCCGTTGATAACTAACCTCAAACCTGGTAAGATACCGGGCCCTGACGGGTTACATCCACGGTTGCTGTCATCTCTTGCGGACATTATTTCAAAACCGCTTGCGACACTCTTCAACATGTCCCTCTCACTCGCCCAACTCCCTAGAGATTGGAAGGACGCTATAGTTAGTCCTATATTTAAGGACGGTCAGCGACAGATAGTATCTAACTACCGGCCTGTCAGTCTAACTAGCATAGTCGTTAAGTTACTCGAAAAGATAATTCGGGTTAGGTTGCTAAGCCACATAGATTTACACAATCTGTTAGCTCCTGAGCAACACGGATTTCGTAACAAGCGTTCATGCTTGACTAACTTGCTTATTGCGAGGGAGGATTGGACAGCAGCCCTAGATCACGGTCTGTCTGTCGACGTGATATTCATAGATTTTAGCAAAGCGTTTGACAAGGTTTCACACGTAGGTCTTATGCAGAAGCTCACGAGCTTCGGAATAATAGGTACTGTACATGAGTGGATAGGAAATTTCTTATGTGACCGCAGACAGAGAGTTAGGGTCAATGGAACGCTATCCGATTGGAAGCCGGTCAAAAGTGGTGTACCCCAAGGCACCATCTTAGGCCCTCTGCTCTTCCTTCTCTACGTTAATGAGTTACCACTGTTACTTAGGTCGTCGACATTATTGTTTGCAGATGATGTAAAAATCTGGAGAACAATAAAAAGTGCGGCTGATCATGTGGATCTTCAAGCTGATTTAGACGATTTAGTTAGATGGGCTCGAGAGTGGGGCTTAGAAATCAATGCTAGGAAGAGTGTACTAATGCACGTCGGTCACGGTAATAGTTACCGTTACACTATTGAGGGTAAACCTCTTCCATGCGTTCAAGAGCATAAGGACTTAGGAGTAATATTAAGTCATGACTTAAAAACAACTGCGCATTGCAAAGCAGCCGCTGTCAAAGGTTTTCGTGCGTTATGGTCACTTCGCCGAGCGTTCAAATCTTTTGACGAGGAAACGTTTCGAATTTTATACCCCATATATGTTAGACCACATTTAGAGTACTGTATCCAAGCAGCTAGCCCGTGTCTAGTAAAGGATACTAACTCCCTTGAGCGTGTCCAGCGTGTGGGAACGAAATTAGTGAAGGGTCTTTCTAGACTCCCTTACGATGAGCGCTTAAAACGCCTAAATCTTTTCCCCTTGTCGTATCGTAGGACACGAGGTGACCTTATACTGGCATTTCGTATCTTTAATTATGATTTGGGTGTTAATATGTCTTATCTTTTTGCTCCCTCCAGCACTAATAATCTCCGAGGTCATAGCAAGAAGGTTCATAAACCACGATCTAATAAACTTAAAGTGGGATCCCGTTTTTCTCATCGAGTAGTCAATCATTGGAACGCCTTACCCGAACAAGTGGTATCAGCCCCATCAGTGAATACTTTCAAGGAAAAGCTGGACCTTCACTGGAAAGCAATGTGTCAGGATTAACACAGGTTCATCAACCTACTATCCTTATTACTGAAGACTGAAGACTGAAGGCTGAATTGAGAAAAAATCCATAGAATACCATTTAGACAAGTATCTTTTGACAAAGTAACTTAAAAACATACAAAGAAATGAACAGTAATTAAACGGTGCAAGGTATTTAGTTGCATTCAGAGGTATAGTAGGATGTGAGAATTGAGAATTGGCGCTATACGGCAGGCCGCGGGGTGATTTTGTGATGGTGCTCGATCGAGCGACTATAGTTTATTAGCGTCATTTAAGACTAAGGGAGTTGGGAAAAATGTTCATCGTTGATAAAACTGCTTACTTTAAGCAGTAATTTGATAACAAAATGGCTTACATACTACTTCATTAAGGTCAACGTGGGAAGGTGGAGTATAGCACCAGCTCGGCAATAACTAAAAGGTAGAGTCCTTTAAATGTTCTGACGTGTAAATAGCTATTTTCTTGGCCAAAAGAAAGGTTATGCTATAATATCAAGATAATTTTTTCTTCAAAGTGAAATTTGATGGGAGTCTAAGTGGATGGGAACACAATCGGGACCCAAATCCTTATGTAGAGAAGACCAGAGTTATTCGTAGACATAAATTAACAACGTGAAGTAACAATCAGTTAGTTCTTTTCACTAGTTTCCTGTTCAGTATGCTCCAAATATTTTGATCCTCACTCCAAAAGGACAAGGTCACTTTGGAGCGTATCCAGCGGCGAGCCACGAAATCAGTTCGAGGACTCAAATCTAAGCCTTACGAAGAACGCCTCCGTTCACTAGACCTTTACCCATTAGAATATAGGCGTCTTAGAGGTGATTTATTAATGGCTTATAGTATTCTTAACACTTCTGGACATCCTCTTAAACACCTACTTAAGCTTAGTTCGAATAACAACCTAAGGGGTAACACCCAGAAACTGGAAACACAACATAGCAAGACGGAATGTAGACACAATTTCTACTCCTTAAGAGTTGTCAAAAGCTGGAATTCGCTGCCAGCCGAGCTAGTCCAAGCGACTTCTCAGGAGTCCTTCAAGAGGCAACTTGACCTATTCTTAAGGACCAAGAACAGCATCACATTATGATTTACCAATCTCTTTTCCTCTTTTATTGTTAACATACCTAGGTTCCTGCCTGGAGGATTTGGTGATCCCCTGCTACTAGACACGGAAGCCTGTTAAGCGAAAGCTTCTTCTATTCCGTCCACAACCATTTGAACCATTTGAACCATTTAGTGACATTGAATATTGTATGTGTGAGAGTGCGCTTTCCCTGAATCTTTGTAGAAGAGATGTCAAAGGATATCCCCAAGCTTGACCCGTTTAGAACTAAGGCAGAAATAAAGGGAAAGAAACAGAAAAGGTCTCAAGGATCTTCACATTATAGACCAAAAGCACCAACTGAACTAACACGTTTACCGGCATTTAAAGGTTCATAAATCCACTTATAAGATCGAATTTTAGATGTTTCTCCTTCTGAGCACCAAGAGCTGTTTGTGAAGAAACTTCAGCAATGCTGCGTTGTCTTTAACTTTGAGGACTCAACCTCTGATGTCAGTAGTAAAGAGATCAAAAGAACTTTCTTGAATGAGCTGGTAGAGTACATAAGCGTAACAAGGAACGCGTTAAATGAATCTGTTTACCAACCGATTGTTTCCATGGTTTGTCCTAGACTTATGTTTGTGATAGCACGTTCTTAGATTGCTTGCAACATATTCAGACCTCTCCCACCCTCTGACAATCCGGACTTTGATCCCGAGGAAGACGATCCAATTTTGGAAGCAGCCTGGCCTCACCTTTCAGTAATAACTTGTTTTACTTAAGCATATTTTATAGTACGTCTATGAGTTTTTCCTGCGTTTCCTTGAGTCTCCCGATTTTCAACCAGTTGCTGCTAAAAAATATATTGACCAGAAGTTTGTACTTCAAGTAAATTGTTAGTTTTACAGTACGAAAGTTAGTTACTGGAGCTGTTTGATAGCGAGGATCCTCGAGAACGTGAGCTGCTAAAGACCGTGGTTCATCGCATCTACGGGAAGTTTTTGGGATTAAGGTCTTTTATCAGAAAGCAGATTAACAATATATTTCTAAGGTATTATCAAAGTCTTGGGAAATTTATTTCTAGATTCATATATGAAACGGAACAGTTCAATGGTGTTGGGGAGTTGCTTGAAATTTTGGGGAGTATTATTAATGGTTTCGCCCTCCCACTTAAGTCTGAACACACTCGGTTCCTCGCAAAAGTTCTGATCCCACTTCACAAAGCCAAGTCCTTAGTGACCTTCCATCCCCAAGTGGGTTGTCAAAAAGTTTATTGTGGGTATTTTTAGGTATAACTAAGACAATACTTGTCGTTGCTTGTTCCCTTTAAATTAATGTAATTATTAGCATTGTGATTAGACTAAGTTTCAAGTAATTTTCTGCTGCTAGAAGTTACTTATTTGCACAGATAACTGTTTACTGTCCTTCTAGATTTTTAAACTCTGGTGTAGAGTACCCTTTGAGAAGAACAAAAGTACGCATATTTATTAGTTGGTGTTACAAATGATGTTTCTAGTTGACATCAGTCAAATTTAGGCTTTTACGCGTATTGAAACCCAACTTGTTACAAAAGGTGCCATTAATTTGATTTGCTTCGCTGTGTAAAACACTTTGTCGTTCTGTTATATACAAGACATTCGCAAAATAGGTTATCCAACCTACCGACATCAACCCTCGACCGTTGTTGCCACCTTAATGTGTGATCGGGCTCACCTATCGTGATGAACCAGTCGGGTTTTATTGACTGAAACAACCGTTCCTCCAGGTCCTACTATGCCAGACAGGTCGGTCGAAGAGCGGTACGACTAAAACCAACAAACTTAAGGCTCGAGGGCGAAATTTTACTACTGACTGTACAGAGGTGTGACGGCAGTAAGGTGTTTCCCTCAGACAACCAGTATAACAGCAATGCTGTCTTCCCACAAGGAGGGGCGGGGTTAGAAAAGGTCGACCCTAAAAATGCACACCTCGCCTTATCCCACGGATATCCGTCTCCGGCGGTAAGATCTCAATAAGTACGGAGCTAACACGAAAATTACCCGGAAAAAGGTGTGCGACCGACCTCAAGCAGTTGTCCCTTGGGCATTGCGGTCACGCACTCAGGTCACTAGGACCAACTCGAACCCAATTTCCCTTTCAAGTACCTCTAGAATAACCTCTCCACATTGTGTGAAACTGGGAAGTGATAACCGCCCTCATACCTCTAACAGCACTCAAGATCACTGTATTCATAATCACTCCCTCTTCAATTCCTATTGTTCCTACTATGTCGAATTTCAACTCTAAACTTGCCTTTTTGACTTCCTCCTCAAGTGTCATCATGGCCAACGATTCTAGTGCACGAAACACTGTCCCAGGTCTACTGAAACCTCGCTCCAAACTACACATTGGAGCCTTCAACATTCGCACCCTACGTCAAAACGGTCAGCAGGCCTCCTTGACTAGGACCCCAGAATCTCGTACCACTGATGTATGCTGTATCTGCGAAACACGTATACAGGATCCTAGTGTGGTCATTCACTTGACCTCACCTCTCCAAAGCTGAGAGCCGGCGAGTTACACCCTTCGTGTATCTGGCAACCCCACAGCACGTTCTCGTTGACTGGCAGGTGCTGGCATAGCAATAAGCATGAGGGCAGGGGGATCGCTTAGAATGAATCCCTGTTAACATTGGCCTATGTGTTGTTCAGCTAAATGGCTCCATAAGAACTCGGAAGGACAGGGACACGTCGTTACCTCTTCGTCATTTCTGCCTACGCTCCCACTGACTGCGACCCGGATGCATTGGAAAATGAATTTTACTGAGACCTTTCTAAACTTCGAAAAGCTAAACACTCAGATATAATACTCGTAGCTGGTGACTGTAATGTCTAAGTAGGCAGCTTAAACCAAACAGAAAGACATATGTAGTTGAACTCAGCATTGAGAAAGCCTAAGGTAAATTCCAGGAACAACTGAAGTCACATTTAGACAGTTATGAAAACGAGGATGACCCAGATGTTGCTTCGAAAGATATACGAGCAGCTATGAAAACAACAGCGACATTCATTAATGATTTGAACCAAAGGGTTACGAAAAACCAGCGGATTTCTGCAACATCCATTGCACTGATAGACCCATCAGACTCCGAACACGACGAGGAGCGAAAACGAATCAGATATAGTTCGACCAAAAGTCTACGGAACGATCGTGAGCAATGGGTGTAGGCAACACCAGACGGCTTTTCAGACTAATAAGAGAAACCGGGATTAAGAAGTCAAGTGTAAGTGAAACGATCTCGGAAGAAGACGGGAATCTTATCTGTCCTCAGTCCAGACGTTTAGAACGATGGGCGGAACATTTTAAGGAGCAGTTCAGCTGGCCTTCAGCTACTCTACAATTGTAGACAGTCGTCTGTACACTGTCCGACTACATGGAACAGTAAAGACTCGAAAAGATAAGGACACTCGTCGTTGCCTCTTCGTCGTCTCCGCCTATTCTCCCACTGACTGCATCCCAGATGATGTAAAAGATGAGTTTTACAGAAAGCTTTCCGAGCTTCTCCGAAAAGCTAGGCGCTCTGATGTAGTAATAGTGACTGGTGATTTTAATGCTCAAGTAGCTGAACTAAGCGAAAGGGCCCTCAAATGCCCTGGTATGGCCGGAAGCGGGGAGGGCTCCCCCTCCCTCTCAAAATACTCTCACACAGCCACGCGTATACAGCCTATGCCAGGGAAGTTCTATTCACTGCCTTTTCGTGGCGGGGGTGTTGTTTACGAAAATGAGAGGACGAAAAGAGAATGTTCGGCGCTTTACCCGGCTCCCAAACCAATGGTGCACATAGGCTCCAGTATCCTGTGGGAACAAATGGCGTATGAACCAATTTCTTCGTCACCGGCTAGCATGGGACTGCATCTCCTTACGATGCTCCACTGCCTTGTGGGTTGGACCTTTAAGTCAAAGGCTCGGGGTGTGGCCCCCCAAGAAAACCACCTGCTTCGGTCTGGGCACCCGGGTAGTATCACAGCCACGCACAATTATGATGAACTATCTATATTTATGGAAAATACTATTCTTGCTGTGATTAACAATCAAATGATTCATATTATTACTATTATTATTTACTACGTCATTTATTCACCCTCTTTTATCCCCACTCTGAGTATACTTGTTTTTCGACTTATACAGCAGCTCGCCTACGGTGGAAATTCGGCTCTATCTAAACGTTCTCGGGTCACTGCCTGGTTGGAAATTGTATGCTACCACCAAGTACGAGTACTGAAGCAGCTTTTCTGAAACCACGTGCACCATTCAAACTGGCTGCCTTCAACGTTCGCACATTTATGCAGGTCGGACAACAGATAGGGCTGGCGATGTCTTTGGAAAGTCTTAATATTGATGTTTGTTGTCTATCCGAGACCCGTATTCAAGACTCTGGCGAAGTACTACAAATTCGATCTCCATCTGTCGCTTCAAAAAGCTTGTTTTACGTGCGCTTATCCGAGGACCCTGTGGCATTTTCGTCCAGTCTTGCTGGCGTTGGTGTCGCACTAAGCGCTAGAGCTGAGGCAGCACTAATCGATTGGATCCCCATTAACAGTCGGTTATGTTCTGTTAAATTAGAAAGTTCCATCAAAGTGAGAAGAAATCGGCGTGAGAAACGATGTCTTTTCGTCATCTACGCCTATGCTCCGAAAGATTACAGCCCAAATGCGATCAAGGATGAGTTTTACCACCAGTTATCTGTTCTTCTTCAGATAGTGTAGTACTAGCCGGAGACTTGAGTGCTCAGGTCGGGCGTCTAGGCACAAAAGAGAGTCGTTTAGGTGGCCGATGGGGACTTGTTGGTCGCAGGTCAGATAACGGGGACCGTCTACTGCAACTGTGCACAGACCACAACCTGTTTCTGGCTAGCACTAACTTTCGGCACAGTCATCGCCGATGTGCCACCTGGCGTCCTCCCTCTGCATCTCAAGCCTGGACTCAGATTGATCACATCGCGATCAGCTACCGCTGGCGTGGTTGTGTACAAGACTGCCGCTCCTTTTGGAGTACCTATCTGGACTCTGACCATGCCTTGGTCTGCGCCAATCTTACCTTACTTTTCAGTGGCCAACGAAGTGACCGCCACCAAAGGATTGATGTTAGCAAGCTGGTTGCAACTTCTGTTGCAAGTAAGTATCGAACCGAGCTAGCCTCTAGGCTAGCTACCACTCCACCGAAAAGTATAGATGAGCATTGGTTGCAATTGCATGACGCCATGAAAATGGCGGGAACAGTCAGTTGTGGGTTTGCGAAACGTCCCGCTTTTAAGCACTGGGTTTCTTCTGGTTCCTTACAACTCATTGAAGCCCGTCGGTCTACTCCGGGTGACCGTGAGTTTGACCATAAACGAAGGATGTTACGTAAGGAAATTGGGCAAAGCTTGCGTAAGGACCGAGAAGCCTGGTGGTCGGAGTGTGCTAATGAGCTGGAAGCAGCAGCTGCATCTGGTAACTACCGGAAGCTCTTCCAACTCATCCGAGCCACTGGCAGCAAGAAGTCTGGTGTGAGTGAAACAATCTGCGAGGATGATGGGATGCCAATCACTAACATCCATCGACGTCTTGGACGATGGGCAGAATTTTTCGAAGGGCAGTTCAACTGGCCTGCTGCTCCGGCAACATCGGTCAGACTGTCCTGCCCTCCATGGCCGGTGACGACTGATCCACCAAACGAGGAGGAAGTCCGCAAGGAACTCCAACTCTTGAAGCGTTACAAATCACCTGGCCCAGATGACTTACCTCCGGCTCTTTTTAAAGATGGTGGTGACTTTTTGACTAAGGAATTGACGACGTTGTTTACAAAGGTTTGGGAACTAGAGAGTGTACCAACGTCATGGAATGAGTCGATAGTTGTCCCTATCTTTAAAAAGGGTTCACGTCGTTCCTGTAACAACTATCGGGGGATAAGTCTACTTCCGATTGCGTCCAAGCTATTGGCTTCCGTCATACTTCGTAGGTTGTTCAAAACCCGAGAAAGATTGACTCGCGAGGAGCAGGCTGGGTTTCGTTCTGGTCGAGGATGTATTGATCATATGTTCACCCTCCTCCAAATGTTAGAACACCGTCATACCCGACCGAAGCTGCTACCTTGACGCGGTGGTCGGACTTGCCTATCGTGATGACCCAACCGAGCTATATTGGCTGGAGCATATGTTCCTGTAGGTTCTACCATGCCAGGCAGGTCGATTGGTGAACGGTAAGACTAAAAGCAGCAACTCAAGGTCTGGGGGCGAAGTCGTACTGCTGACTGTAGAGAGGTGTGACAGCAGTAAGGTGTTTCCCTCGGACAACCAGCATGACAGCGATGCTGCCTTCCCACAAGGAGGGGTGGGGTTAGAAAAGGTCGACCCTAAAAATGTCACACCTCACGGATTTCCGTCTCCGGCGGTAAGGCCCGTCGAAGAACGGAGCTAACACGTCAAAAACCTTCCACAAAAAGGCCGTGCGCATCCGGCCTCAAGCAGTTGTCCCTTGGGCTCTGCGGTCACGCTCCCAGGTCGTCAAGACCAACACTAATCCAATTTCCTTTTCAGGTTCCTCAAGAAATACCCTTCCACGGTGTGGGGAGCCGGGAAGTGACATCAGCCCTCATACCCGTAACAACACACGAGACTGACACCGCCATACTTATCAAAGGCTAACAGTCGTAGTGTTTCTCGACATTGGGGCTGCCCTCGATTCGTTGGACAGGACTGTTCTCTGGGATTGTCTATTGAAGAAGGGTGTACCTGAGAAGTTTATTAACGTCCTAAATGCCCTATATAAAAACACCTCAGGCAGAGTGAGGGCATACAACCACCTCTCTCCATTGTTCCATTCGAGCAGTGGGTTAGACAGGGTTGCCCAATCTCACCATTCCTCTTCAACTTTGCCATCGATGACATTCTGGAAACAGCTCTGATGGATGTAAGTAATGGTGGTGTGGGTCTGTTGCCTGGAGAAAGAGTTCTCGACCTTGAGTATGTGGAGGATATGCAATCCGCACTTAATCATTGGCAATCAGTGTCCGTAGGTATGGCATGTGCTTTGCACCTTCGAAGTGCAAAGTACTTCTACAAGACTGGCAGGATTCCAATCCTGTACTCACTCTGGATGGTGAGCAGATAGAAGTAGTCGAGAAGTTCGTGTACCTGGGTAGCTGCATAAGTGCTGGTGGGGCGTGAGTGATGAGATCAATGTGCGAATAGTGAAAGCCAGAGCGGCTTATGCCAATCTGGGCCATCTTTGGCGCCTTCGTGATGTCAGTCTGGCTGTAAAAGGTCGGATCTACAACGCGTCGGTGAGAGCAGTTTTGCTCTATGCTTGTGAAACCTGGCCTCCGAGTTAAGGACGTTTCTGGATATTTTCATTCTTCATAAAATGCTATTGTGTTTAGTTATACTTATTCATCCGATTCTGAGTTATTTCAAAAGCCTTCTCCAGGTGTGGCTCCTGAGAACCTTATTCAGACACATTTACATTGGTTAAGATAATTTTGGAAACTACCAGTTTTGTCTTTAAGCTATCGACGCGAATATTCCATCCAAATTAACATGTTATTCAGAATTAACTAGAATCAACTGTTCGTTCTGTTTGAAAGAAGTTCTTTAATCGACGCTCACTAAATAGGAAAAGTGTTTACCTATTGTACATTATACAAATTGAAACGAACTATATGACTGCTTGAACCATTTAGATCACACCTGTTTTCCATACTTTGTATCAATAATTTGCCGTAGTTACATCGCCTTACAATCTGTTAAGGTACAATTCTTAGCCAGACATTTAAGAAAGCGTATATTTTATCCTTCCAAGTTCCAGTTAATTAGAAGCATTATTTAATCAACTAATTTCTATATTTTATTTTAATCCTATTGTTCAGCTTGCTTACTGCATAGTCCAGTTCTTGGATAAAGATGCCACTCTGACAGAGCAGGTTGTTCGCGGACTCTTAAAATTTTGGCCCAAAACCTACTCTCAAAAGAAGTTATGTTTTTAGGTGAAATTGAAGAAATCCTAGAAGTTATTGAGCCTTTACAATTCCAGATTATTATGGTTCCTCTTTTTAAACAAATTGCGAAGTCAGTCTCAAGTTCCCACTTTCAGGTTTGTTTTAGTTTTGTTCTTGGAAATGTATTACAGTTTGCCACATAATGTCACCAATTTACATTGGAAGTTGGTTCACTCAGTTGCTAGCTTATAGGGTTCAATTACATGCAACCCAAGTACGAATTAAATTTGAAATAATTTGGTCTCTGATCAAATATATTATTGTCGACTTTGGTTCTTGAAGGAGTTACCTATGGGACAGTTACACGACTACATATTGGATAAATTTTCCAGTATGTACATAAAGATCCTCAGTAATGTTCAACAGCTCCCAAGTTCTGCAAAATGTAGTGTGTAAATTAAGTGACTTATACTTTAAGAATGTGTTTTTAATTGCCTAACAATGCGCATGCCAACAGTGGCTTACCAATATATCTGCCTAAAAATACAATGCACTTCACTTGCTAATGTATTTTCTGGATTTTACAATATGTACTTCCTAGGTTGCTGAACGAGCACTAAGCTATTGGAACAATGATAATATAGTTTCTCTTATTGAAGAAAATCATGACACTCTTATACCAATATTATTCCCATCCTTCTATCGTATTTCACGTGAGCATTGGAATCAAACAATTGTGGCTTTGGTCGGAAATGTTCTGAAAATCTTTATGGAAATGAATACAAATTTGTGCAATCAGTTAGCTGAAAAACACAAAGTAGAACGTCAAAGGTAAATGGTTTTTAGATTATCTCAATAATTCCGTATAAATAAATGCTCGTGTAATATCCGTGCATTTTCAATATATATCTAGGTCCACTATTTTCTTAACTGACTCTTAACTTTAACATTTTCAGATATGTAATTTCATTCCGATTATTAGTTATGTTCAGTTTCCCCAGATGATCGTTGTTCATAGACATTAAAATGGTTTGAAGTCAACAATTGTGTACTCAATAAATGTGGCCACACTATTCTACCTTGGTTCTACGTGTTGACTTTGCAGGTTTATGTATATGAAAACGTATGTTTAGGTCAATTGGGTTTTATGCGATTACTCTTCGGTTCACATCCTTGGCATTCAAAAGCGCTTAGAAACAGTAACTATATCCTCCCTATTTTTAAAACCACTTTCATTTATGTTTTTTTCGTTAGACAGTTGGCATGATTTACTATCAAGATCTTGAATTCCTTAGTATTGGAACCTCCTTTTTGTTGTTACCTCGTCACAGTGCGCCTGGATGTTGATTACGTATACTTATCTGTTTAATAAGACAAAAGATACTAATAACAATGAAATTCCAGAGACATCACATTTCTACATAAACTGTTCCAGTTACTTATTCCTATGTTCCATTTCCTTAAATGTTTGAAAGTTCATTCCATTTAATTTTTCTTAGGGAACGTAAACGGGAGAAGGAACGTGAAGAATTATGGAAGAAACTTGAGCAGCTGAGGATGTCTGGTTCGGGCGACACACCTGGCCCACCAAATATTGATTCAAAAACTAGCTCTGCAATTACCAACAATGCTTTCACTAATGTCCATCAACTTGGGGTAAATGTGACTAAGCGCTAGATGCAGTTCTCCAACCACTTGTTTCACACAATATCGGCCATATAATATTGCGTTTCATGATCCATACATCTTAGAAGCCTCATGATTCATTCCGTACTGCGTTAGAGATTTTTGTGAGTTAAATAATGCTGAACATGTAACTTGGTCCTTAAGTACAACTTGATTAGTGCATGTTTGCCCATCCATTTATTGAATGAATGAGGATATATTCTTTTCTTGAAGTGACTATTATACTTTTTGTTCTCTGCTTCAATTAAATACCACATCTTGTTATTTAATGTGACCTCAATTGTAATTTCATGAACATAATTTGTATGTTGATTTTATAGTCATAAGACACATAATCGCTCACCTATAACCCCATTAATCTGTAAATCCATCGACAGGACAATAGAGATATCAAAGTAGTTATTATCCTAAACTTTTGTGAATGGCTTTCGCAGTTTTATTAATATCATGCCCAGTTCAAACTTGAAGAAATCACATTCACGAAATGTCTTTTGAATTCTTTTTGGATGACTTATTGTTTTATTCCGAAAATGTACTCGGTGTTTCTTTCTGTGTACCTATATTTTTTACAGAAAACCGAGTATAGACGTAAATAATATATGTAACGCATTTCTGGATTTTACTGTACCCTTAGTTATTTATTATGCTTTTCACGAAACGCTTAAAAATTTCAGCTCCATGTATATCGTATTTGAATACCATTGAGGTTGAGTCCTACAGCCATTATTACGTTACCTTTTTGGGAGATATGAAATTGATTCCTATTAGTAATTGTCACGATAGCTATTCACAAATACTCAAAATCGAAACATCATACTGGCTATTGTCCCTTTGTGAGAAGCTTTGTATTCAAACAATGCTAATTACAGATTGTGGTACTACTGTTATAATGCTGTTTTAAGGATGACCCTCTGATAAAATTCAGTTCTGTACTACATTTCCATCTACTTATAACGTCTAACAATTTCCGTGATTTTATAATCTATATGTGCAAGTTTTTCTTTCAACAATTCAGTTTCTGACTTATCCTTTTACAAGATCAGTATCATATGTAGGTTGAAAGATATAATCCCTCCTAGAGGTTATTTATGAACGAGCTGTTGTTACGGTGTAATGAACAAAGCTACGCTAGGGAAGCGATCATATCACATACAAATTATGTGAGATGAAAAAAACGTAATTTCTCGTTTTATCACTGCTACAACAATTATTAAAGTTCACACCATTAGTTCATCTGTGATCTCAGAGGCCATAGATTCCTCTATTTCCAAACCAGTCTTCTAATTTTCCATCACACTTATTGAAGCTTTATATAAGTGTTTGTGAAATTATTATTACATCTTAAAGCATAAGTATGGAATTCTCAGAATGTTTTAAATGTGCAGATGAGTACCTAGAAATAGAACAAATTACCCACTTTCTACACGGGGACGATTGTCTATAGTAAGATCAAGGCATAATACGAGTCAGTATCAATATTCTGGCTGATGAGTAAGTTTCAATGAGACTAAAAATTCTGGCAATTATATTCACGACATTTAGAAGTCTTTTGGTATTTCTAATGTGTAGTAGGAGTGCCATAAGGGTTACTGATTATTGGTCACTTAACCTTTCGCCAGAGCAAATCACTGTAGGGAGGAATCCGCTACACAAGTAAAAATTATAGGTTCTCCCTGCAAACACTTAGTTCTCAAACATGTTTACCTTTGAACTATTGGGTTAATAAGCTTCAAACCATTGGGGAAGTCTAACGTTTCTTGAACGACAATTTCCCAGAGTTTTCTGCTTTAAATGTCCCTAAACCTTTGTATAACAAACAATGACACTCTAATTATTCACACATATGCTTGGAAAAGTTTTTTTTTAATCTACGTAAATTACTAGTGTAAAAATAGTAGGCGAAATAACAAGCTTCAGTCAATGACCTCACTGACTATTCCTCTAAGTCGTGTTGATAGTTACAAACTACCTGGTTGGAGATGACAACACAGAATCGATCCCAAATTGGCCATTTAATCTTTAGTTTGGAAATTACCTTACCTTTTATTCAACTCATCCATCTTTCCCCAAGTTATATTGCTTGTGGCTGATCTTTTACGCTATAACTGAAACAGCTACTACCATGGTATTCATTTTCATAAATTCTGACTACGCTCCTGATGTATTCTGGCAACCTGAGCTGACACACTTTCCACGTCCGAAATTGCTGACAGCCAGTTGTCTTTTCGGATGTGCGAGGGCAAAACAAGAAGCTGAGTCATAACACATCGGAAAATATTGTAAGGACTAAGTAAACTATTATATTTGGTCAGGATGTCTTGCAGTCTTCTTGTTGCTCTACTGGCTTTAATGTACTTACATATTGCCGGACTAGTTTTTCATTTTCTAAGATTTCTACTGGCTTTTTGTACTAGAAGGAAGAAAACAGATTAGATACGAAGATCACAAACCGAAATCAGAAGAGTATTGTTAGCATGGGTTAATGATATGGACTTTTCGTTTAGGGGTAAACCCATTCGGGTCATATCCGGAATGTTGAACTTTTTGTAATATCTGAATTGAAAGTAATCAAAACTAAGTGTAGTGCTTACTTTTTGTTGGTGGTCCGCAATAAGATATTTCCATCTTCAACGGAAACTCTGTACACATCTAATGGGTAAGGTAAGTTACGGATACGCCATTGGAATGCATGTGGAACATCACTACGACTGAACAGTGGCTAATTCTGTTACTAAGGTAATGAAAATATTAAAATACAGCTTGTGATGACTCCATTAGATGCTCTGAAAACTGGTTTTCTCTCCTAAGTGATTCTCCGACTTCATATTCCCACTGCCCGTCCCCACCAAGTACGGTTTTGCTTCTGAATTTCCTTGCTCATTATGATCATAAGGTGATTTGAACAAGGCATACTTACTCAGTAGATTATGGGTAGACAAGTCATATTCTTCAACCATTTGCAAACCTTCAGGAAATAAGAAGTGGACCTTACGCTTTCCTAGAAAATTTTAACAAGAAAAAGGAGCAAGATTTCAATTTATTGGGATACTTTGATTCGGATGTCGGCTCAATAATATATATATATATATATATATATATATATATATATATATATATATGAAAGCAGTCGGTGAGTGTTCTGGCATATTATTTTCTAGGTAAGTACCCATATTTGTTGAAAAAGTAGTCATAAAGAAATTTGTTCGGAGTAATGTATTATCATTATATCTTCTTACAGTTGCTGCTCTCCAATAACTTGGAGGCTACAACTTTAGCCTGGGATAATGAAAACTTAAAGTACTGTTAGTACGAAATGGTATCTCAAATAGCCCAGAATAACGACCTGGTTACATTGGCAAACATAGCTATCTGATGATTTGCGATGCAGATGATTGTTGCCGTAGTCCGGTCACTCCAAGCGACTAACATAAGAGAAATTCATTTTGGATATGCTTATATATATACTTCGGGTGTAACTCTAAGCAGAGCTTCAGTTTCGTAGTATTGAGAAATGAAGGTATTATTCACTACTACTGTGATACAAAATTGAAAAGCTTGAGTAGAATAGACGAACCAGGTAGTGGCCCATTTTGTGACACGACAGTCCTGTACATTTATGAAGGAAAATTCAGTGTAAGATTCTCAGTATGCATGAGCGTGACCAACTGGATAAATGTAGTACATATAAATGGATGCAATACAATTCTACTTGATTTCAGTACTAAATTATGATGCGAAACGGGTAGCTTCAAAATTACTGATGAAAAGTATGACTCCAAAGTTCCATTAAATTATTGACGGCTCACCATCCTCAATAATGACAGTCGCTTTCGCAGACTTGACCCTTTTGACCCACGCGCTGGTATCCATGTTTTGTATTTGCCTCCTTTCATATTGCTAATCCTCAATATTCAGGTGACTAGTTACCATCTCTGAGGTTCTGACAGTAAAATATGTTTTATTTAGATAGAGTAAACGTTTGCTGGACAATTTAGAAATACTATGAAACGTGAACGTACTTCAGTTTCAGTTGGTAAAGGACTGGTAGCCTGCCTTATTCCTGGCAATGATGGTCTCTAAGTTGATCCAACTTTCTTTGAAAGAGTCGACGGATAGAGCCTCAACCATGTGCTGAGGTAATGAATTCCATTCATTGATGACTCGATGGGAAAGTCGATAGTCAGTTGACAAGTAATTTGTTCTGTACTTGTGAAGTTCTTTGGAGTGTCTTCGTAAATTCTCTGTTTTGGAAGACAAGAAAAATGAGGGCATATCAGGTGCAAATTTATCACTAAGCTACTTGAAAACTGTAATCAAGTCACCTCTAGTTCTTAGATATGACATCGGGCCAGTCGAGCATCATACAGAAGCTTCGCTATTCCGGGAATCAGCTTACTTGCTGTTCTCTGAACCTTTTCCAGAAGCTCGCTGTCTGTTTTTAAGCAGGGGCCAGCCGCTTGTATGCAGCACTCAAGTCTAGAATGCACAAACACTGTATACAGAAACAAAAACTTTTTAGCATCGTCGTGACTTAAGGCCTTACGTATTGACCATAAGGTTATAAAACCTTCGGCAGCTTTTGCACGGCAGTGTGCAGTAGCCTTTAAGTCTTGGCTAACGATGACTCTTAAGTCATTGTGTGTCTGAACAACAGGTAGCTCAGTGTTATTCATCGTGTATGTATCTGTACCTTGATGACCGATAAGCATTACAACACACTCGGAAGTATTTATCGGCAACTGCCAGGTTTGAGACCATTCAGATAATTCCTTCAGGTCATTTTGGAGTTCTAAGCTATCATCCTTACATCGTATCGTCCTCCATATCTTGACAACGTCAGCATATAGCAAGACCGATGATGATAATAGAAGAGGAAGGTCATTTACATACATGAGGAATAACCGTATACTGGGGCACTTCACTAAGCACAGTTTCCCAGATAGATAACTTTGAGTTCACCCGTACTCTTTGTTGGCGCCCAATTATGAAGTCTTTTATCCACATCAAGCATATTTAGCGAACCAAAGACGTTGAATCCCGTCATGGTTACGCTGTCCAGTGTTTGTGTAGGTGGATTTGTATTTACTGACGGGAAGGGTGTTTCTATGGTATATACATTGCTCAAGTAGTTTGAGAACACTTGAGCTTTACCAAAGTCGTCCGCCACTGAAGATGAAGCAGCACTGTCTTCTTACAGTGCAGCGATATTTCCTCTTCTTTTTGTTTTTTTGGTTTATTTACGAGTACAAACGTTTAAGAAATTCCATGTGTTCCTTGACAATTTTCTCTTCGTACAACCTTCTAGACTTACGGAAGGTCGAGCTTTTCGATACTGAGATTTTGTCTCACCAGTCCCCAGTAATCTAAACCTATCACACATTTTTCTTCTGTTACGGATAAGAATGCAAACCTCACTACTGAACCATGGTGGTGAATTTCTCGGACCCTCCGGTATGGTCCAAGGGATGTGGGGTGCCCACAAATATATATATATATATATATATATATATAAACATTCATCCATGGAATTGTGCTATGAAAAGTCCCCAAAATAAATGATTTTGTATGTCTTTGACGTTGACGCTCAACTCACACCAAACTCTTCTGATTATGTTTTGACTAGGTTGGTATACTTTGTTCATAAACTTGTTACGTGAAGAGGCGTTGACGAACTCTGAATATCTGTGGCATATTTAGACGTGTTAAATAGGCAATTAAAAAATGTTAGCCCACATTTTTGAGTCTGGTCGACTGTACTCGTAATTGTGATAGCCTAATTATTGCTACTCTGCTGAATTAAACACATTTCGTGTTTACGTGGAAAAATGATTCTATGATGCGTACACCCACTTTACCCCCGTCTCATATATGGTATTTTCAGGGCTACACAACTATCGTCTCTATATATTTTGAACACGGCTTCGCTTATTTGGGAGGCAATCTCTGAAACAACGTTGTCTGACTGTTCTTTACTTGAGGTTTAGATATTGATAGGCACCATACTAAAAGGTAGATATTTAAGTGCATAACATGAAGGACTACATACAGTAATATATAGGATCACCAAAATTTTAAGGTGCTTCAACGACAGTTTATCCTGACGACGTAAATACACGAATTATCTATCATGTGATCTATAGTACGAATCTCAGTTCAAAGCGGATGGGAACCTTAACTCCACGACGAACCAATGGGCTAAATTTTCTCATATAACGTTCAAAAAGTAAGCAGACAATGGACTAAGAAGTCATAATAAAGTACATCGACAATATGCTTCAAAATGTGCGAATTGTAGACAAGGTGTCTAGCTCCATAACATACTTCATTTCTCATTTGCACACGGTAGGAAAACTTAATATAACACGTGAGGTAAAAATTAGGAGAACTTGGTGAAGAAGCCATTAGAAATTATTATGATGTCGTAAATCCAATCTGCTGTTTGCAACTATAAATACAAAAAACAGGCGAAACTTCGTCTTCTTTAAAACGGAGACTTTACACGTTGAACGATATTTCCTACTCAAAACGCGAAGCATGTGCTAGTTGCACCACACTATTGCCTGGTCGCTTGAATCTTAGGTGGAATTACCAATATAATTAAATCATTTGCTTGCTGGATCCTTCCACAAAAAGTGAATTTTTGACTACATTTAATTAAAACATGAACGTGGAATCTAATTAGAACATTATAATCATATCCCTTAGGAGTGTTTCGGTCGGACTCTGCTAGAAATGGTGAACTCCCTGGGGTTGGCTATGCAGTGTGACGTCACTCATTAGGTAGTTATAACCTACAAGAAATATCATACATCTAATGCAGTGGTAAAACTTACGTCATACTTGCCACAACCTACTGTCCCATTGTCCTGCTACTTGTGTAACGATGCAACTAGCATGTTCGTCCGAAATGATAGCCATTAGTTTGACACTAAAAATGTTGTTGAATATCGAGATACTTAAAACTTAAGTCCACATTTTACTTAGTTCCATTGTGAAATCTGTAGACGTTAAGTCGAGATTGGATGGATTTATTCGACCAAAAGTCACCAACAATGATTAGTTTACTACTGTACGGCTCCAAAGAATATCCTGAGACGGTCCATAGCTACTGATCAGATATTTCAGACAGTCCATCGTTAGTACAGTTATTTTGACTTGCACGTCCTAATTTCAGAAGATCTACGCGGATATTCTCCAACTCTCTGTGATGGTGAACGAAAGCGTCCACGAATTGAAGTTGAAAATTCTCATAGCATCCAAGATCAATTCGCAATGACTTTGGAAGATCTTGCAAAAGTCGGGGGAATCACTGAGGTATGGAATCAGCCATTTCACTGTAAGATACCAGACAACAACATACCTATCTCAAGCTTTTAAGAACCTTTAATTAATGTACAGATGCCAAGTTTTTAAATGTCAATCAATTAGATTAAATGATAACACAATTCCAACAGCCACTGTAGGAGCACGATAACTGTAACTGCAAAAGCAGTCAAATGACGGAGTTCAGCAGACATAAAGATGCCAAAATTATTCATATTCATATTTAACAGCACCTTAACCAGTAACACCTCTATGGTTGGAACGTATATTTGATATGCTATCGATATATCCAGAAATGACTGATGTAAGCTTGTTAGTGGTTGTAGTAATAGCGTAGCAAAGCGAATCCACTCGTGATCTGGTGAGTCCATCAAAACAAACGCGGTCGACATCTAAGATTCACAGATCTATCGATTTTCGCGATTTATTTAAGGCTCCAGAATACAACAGTGATTACTGAGTCTGTTATATAAACGAATGTTCTTTCCATTGCTTCCTACACACAGTCAAACTGTCTATTTGTGAAATCGTCCTTCCATTTTTTTCATTCTCCTGTAAAACCTCAACGAGCGGCAGTCCACCAAGTTTGAAAATCTTCATATATACACATTTCGCAAAACAAATGACCGAAACTTAATCCCATAAAATAGGTCGGTCTATGTGGGAAGAGTCATTTGCCTATTATACCAGTTATTCACTAAAGCAAAGTCATTACTTGCATATGGAGTTCAACATTTTATCATTATGATCATGTAAAGCGAAGACTGAAGCTATTATAATAAGCTCTCAATATATAAATTCACTGCCAACTGTGCGACGTAATCTCGGCGAACAAAAGTTTTGTGAGTGAGAAATATGCCCAGTCCTGCAATTTTCCTACACAATTGACCGAAAACGCTTGATTTTCCTGAAAAATTCACCCAGGATTGATATTACCTCAGAAATTGGCTCAAAAGATGCATGGAGTTATTAGTTTGAGGTTACACAAACGTGCGAATGTGAAATGTAAAAATAACTTAAACTGTTGGTTGTAACTCTTCAGGAAATTTTCTCATCTAGATCACTAGTTCGTTTTATTCATACTCGTGTCCCCACTGACTGTTATCGATCGCTTTCATCATCAGGTGTGCATATATATATATATATATCTTTGTATAGTCGTATGGTGTAGTCTGTTGGGCGTGCATATAAACCCAGTATGTTTGAAATACATGATTCATATGGCGGAGTCTGAGATTGGAGCTAACGCCCCAACAAGGAGATAGACAAGGGGACCATAGACTGCCCGTAGGGATTTGTGTCAGTGGTAAGATCGATAAGTCACTATTCTATAATTGGCGGTATCATTAAGTCAAGTGATGATTGGGCACAAGTTTAGCACTGTGCACTCACTGACGGTCCACTTTTATTCTTCGTTCTATCTTCTCTTGATCACACTAGTCTGCACGATTTCCTTCAGGCTAGATACGAACCACAACACAAACCGCCTCGTTAGTAGCACCACATAAGTTCAATAAAAGCCTGTTCTTTTATCGCGCGTATAACAATAACATACCAATTTCTTGCAATCCCTCCTGATGAAACGGCCACATAAAAATAAGCATGTTAAAATTTTACAGTCTTTTCTTAGTGTGATGTAAATTAAGTACTAGCCTATTAGTAAACACAACCACGCTTTCAGATTACGAACCAAAAAAACATTGTAAACCAGGAATAGCCGGGTCGCTCTTACATCCCAAGATGTGAACCCTCAGAAGTCTGCATCCACAACCGCATGCAGGTCAGACGTGAAGTTTTCGAAACTGTTTGGTAGTGCTTAACATCTAGAGTACCGAGGACGCCTATTTTCAACTGATTGACAGAATTGCGTAATTCTACCCGGTTTTTATTTTTTGTTAGCTACCTCACACGCTGCGTGGCCGAACATTTGTCACTGTATTTCACAAGACTCAAGACGTCTCCTCGGTACTATCGTTTATTGAGGAAATGATTCCAATAATATCTTAAAATCTCCACAACCCAATTAAACTAAAATATACTTATGAACACAATTTAAGTTAGGTTTGCATTCAATTGAAGATGATACTTTTGACCCCACTCATTTTTAATGTCGAATTTAAACTTACTATTGGTGCGTTTGCGGGGAAAGTAGAACTGGAACTACTAGGATCACTCTTAAGAAATAAATTGAGTGTTAACTAATGCAACCGCCGAGTTGAATTCTCCCATGTTAGTCACCGGTCGTTGTTTACTAAATAATCAACCATAAGCAGCTATAATCGCCAACTGATTGGTAACATTACATTTTGGAAAATATCAGCAATTACGGCCCAACATCCTTATCTTCCATCGTGACACTTAAATTATCTGCTCACGCCGAGAATGTGCGAAAGGACGATTTCCCACATTTTCTAGGAAAGATTTAGTGTCTACTTACAAACTCAAATCCAAATACATAATACCACATCTATGCAGTAGACGTACCCAATCCTCAGGGTTTTCAACATTTTGATAACCATAAAATGTCATAACTTCGAATTCTCTTTGAGCCATCATGTATAGTCTTCCAAATCACTATCCAAATATATTTCTCGAATTTACGTGATTTTCGATTGGTGACTTCTAGTTACTTCGACGTACTACCTTGTTAGGTACATGAAATTCAACAATCCAAATAATCTAGTATCAGTTAATAGTACCTTTTATTCTCTGATAAAGATGCTGTATACATGAAAGTCATACTGTCTACATAAGTGATTGATGATTGATTGGTTTTAATAACAGCTTATGCCAAGTACTGATGAAGCCCACTTCATATTCTCTTTAATAGTGTCTGATATTTTCCAAGTTATGGTTCACTTATATAATATAAGGGAGATACAACTTTGAATTTCCAAATAAAAATGAAAGATTCCGCTGAACTTATTAGAAATCAGATAACTCAATTGAAAGCTCTTTAAAAGAAGCCAAAAATTGGATAAACGGACAGACTAAACATGGTCTTTAATTGACGGAAATCAATACCAATATGTAGGAGTTTGATTAAGACAATCGTCCCTCAACTTTAAATCTTTGAGCAAACTCTTTTCGAAATTGACATCTGATGTCGAAGTGAGAGACTTGAGGATACATTACAAACAACTGGTTCACAAGTATCTTTTGGACTGACAACAGCTGTTTTAGGATCGGTTAAGTCATCTAAATGTCTGGCTGCAGCTGGTAGAGGGATTACATGACCTGTTTGTAGAGAAACACGGACCCGATTTCCCTCTTCAGTGTACCGCCAGGAGCACTTGCAAGGTTCATTATTTGATGGATCCAAAAGAGCAACCTAAAGTTAATTAAAAGGTTAATGATCAAAACAGACTATGCGGAGAATACAAAGAACATTTAATTCAATAAGACAAACCTCAATGTACTGAAAAATTAAACGTTACCTACATAAATGCATACATGTTATGATAGGTCAACAGTGTACAGAAAATTTGACTATGCATTTGACTGATCGGTGGAAATTTCAAAGACAATTTTAGTCTTTTCAAGAATATTTAAACTGCAATCAAATGTACTATAATCAAGTGTGAAGAGTTGATTACAACCAGTTACTACCGCAATATTTACAGATACATGTAAAGTAATTTCTGTCAACCACTGAAAGGTCTTCACGTCTATTTAAACACTAAATCTTGACAAATGAAGGGAATTAAGATATGGCTCAGACGAAATAAAACTAAAGGAAAATATGTCAAGTGACAGAAGTAATGAAACCATGGAAGAGTAATTATCCACTTAACAGTTTACTTCCGAAAATGTAAAATGGGAATTGCAAAAACAAAATTCCAGCCATTATATGATTAGAAAACGCAAGGAAAAAATGACGCATAATGCAACACAGTAAGAAACTTTCGGACTTTGATGTACAAAACAGGGATAATATGGGAAAAGTTGGAAAATCTGTTGAAACAACACTATACAATCATTCACAGAAATTATTAGCCCCAAATGTCCTGGTACGGCTGAGGGTGAGGAGAACAAGCTCTCTCTCTCAAAATGCTCTCGCATGACTACGCACGCGTATACGGCCACTGCCAGGAAAATCCTACTCACTACCTTATCAGGGTGGCGGTGTTGTTTACGAGATTGAGGGGACGAAAAGCGAATGTCCGGCGATTTAAACGGGTTAGTGGATATGGAGGATCCATCTAGGGTAGTTGAAAAACCCTGATTCTAAACCAATGGTGTACATGGGCTCCAGGATCCTAAGGGGACAAATGGTGTGTGGACCTATTGTTAGTCACCGGCTACCATGGGACGGCATATCCTAACGTTTCTCTACTACCTGGTGGATCAGACCTTTAGGTCGAAGGCTCCAAGTGTGGCCTCCTAAGAAAACTACCTACTTCGATCTTTGCATTCGGGCAGTATCCCAGCCCTCACAAAAATCAATGATAAATACTACTGGAAAAATAACTCTTGCTTCAGTGCTCATTCGGGCAAGTAATATTCACAATCATATGAAAACACTTGTTTTCGTTCCTTTTATACTGTGTCACTTATGTACTCCCTTTTATCCTCATTTTGTGTATTCTTCTGTTTTTCGGCTTCTGCAGAAGCTCGCCTATGGTGGAAAACATGCTCTGTCTAAATGAAATCATGTCATTGACTGGTCGAAAGTTGAATGCTACCAACGACTATGAATATTGAAACAGTCTTTCTGAAACCACATATCATTCAAACTGGACTCCTTCAACGTTCACATACTAATACATATCGGACAACAGATACGGTTGTCTATGACCTTAGAGAGTTGCAACATCGACGTCTGCTGTCTGTCTGAAACCCATATTGAAGACTTTAGTGGGGTAATACAAATTTCCATCTGTCGCTTCGAAAAGCTTGTTTCACGTGCGCACATTCGGGGACCCACTGGCATCTTCGGCTGATCTTTCTGGCGTTTGTGTCGCACTAAGCGCTAGGGCTGAGGTAGCACTGACCGGCTGGATCCCCGTGAAACCCTTTATGTGCTGTTAGATTAAAAAGCTCCATTAGAGTGAAAAACGATGTTTTTTAGTGATCTCCACTTACACTCCGACAGGTTGCAACCCGGTTGTTATCAAGTGCCTTGTACTACCAGTAAACTGTTTTTCTACAGAAAGTGAGTTCGACAGATATTGTGTTACTAGCTGAAGACTTCAATGCTCAGGTCGGACGTCTAACCACAGAGGAAAATTGTTTGAGTAGGCATTAGGCACTTAAAAGTCGCAGGTCAGGTAATGATGACAGTCTACTGCAACTTTGCGCAGACTGCAGCCTGTTTCTGGTTAGCACTAACTACCAGCACAATGAAGGACGATGTGCTCCTTGGGGTCCTCTTTGTGCACCTCAAACTTGGACTCAGATCGATTACATCGCCATGAGCTACAGCTGGCGTGGTTGTGTACAAGACCACCACTCCCTTTGGAGTACCTTTCTGGACTCTAATCATTTCCTTGTTTGTGCTAATCTTATTTTACTTTTCAGCGGCCAACAAATTCATCGTCCTAAATTGATCGATGTCAGCAAATTGGTTGCAGCATTTGTTGCAACTAAATATCAAACCGAGCTAGGTTCTAGACTAGCTATAGCTCGCCGAAAAGTTTAGATAAGCATTGGCTGCAATCGCACTTACGGCTTCACGAAACGTCCCACTTATAAGCACTGGATTTCAATAGGCTCGTTACAAATGGACGAAACACGTCGGTCTACTCCAAGTGACCGCGAATTCGACGACAAACATAGTGAAAGTGTGGAAAGCTTGTATAAGGACCGAGAAGCCTGGTGTTCAGAGCGTGCTAATGAGATGAAAACAGAAACTGTTTCCGGTATGTGCCGGAAGCTTTTTCAACTCATCTGAGTCACTGGCACCAAGGAGTCTGGTGTGAGTGAAACAATCTACGAAGATGATGGGATGCCAATCAATAAGATCCACCGACGTCTTGGACGATGGGCAGAGCTTTCCGAGGAGCAATTCCACTGGTCCCGACAACGTAGATCAGGCTGTCCTACCCTTCATGGTCTGTGATCACTAATCTACCTCACGAGATGGAAGTCCGCGAGGAACTCCAACTCCTGAATTGCCACAAATCACCAGGTCCGGATGACTTACCTCTGGCCATTTTTAAAGATTGTGCTGACCTTCCGGTCAAGGAACTGACTGATTTGGTTACAAAGGCCTGGTAGTTTGAGTGTCCCAACACCCTGGAATGAATCTTAAGTTGTCACTGTAGAGGGATAATTCTACTTTTAGTTGCGTCCAAACTATTTGATTTCGTCATACCTCGTAGATTGCTCGATACCCGGGAGGGGTTGACTCGCAAGCAGCAGGCTGGTTTTCGTTCTGGTCAAAGATGTATTGACTACATCTTCACCTACCGCCAAATGGTAAAACACCGTCATACTTATCACAGACCAACAACCTTAATGTTTCCTGACATCATGGCTGCCTTCGATTCGTTGGACAGGACTGTTCCCTGGGATTGCCTGTTGAAGAAGAGTGGGCCTAAGAAATTGATTAATATCCTGAAAGCTCTACACACAAAGATCTCAGGTAAAGTGAAGCCACACAACCATCTCTCTCCATAGTCCCATTCATACAGTGGGGTTAGGCAGCGTTGCCCAATCTTACTATTCCTCTTTAACTTTGCCCTGATGGAAGTAGGCAGTGGTGGTGCGAATCTGTTGCATACAGGAAAACTTTGACCTTGAGTATGCGAATGATATTATTTTACTGTGCGATGATACTCAAACCATGCAATCAGCGCCTAATCAGTTGGCAATCAATGTCCGTAGGTATGGTATGTGCTTTGTACCTTCGAAGTGCAAAGAGCTTTTACAGGACTGGCAGGGCACTGACCCTGCACTCACCCTGAGTAGTGAGTAGATAGAATTAGTAGAGGAATCCAGTGGCAACACTATGTTAGTAATGCAGAGGTTCGACATCGTGTGTTCCGGCCCAGCGACGATAATTCAATTGGTGTCACTATCTTGAAAAATCGACTTCGGTGGCTTGGACATGTTCTACAAATGTCGATCAGAGAATTCCACGACGTGCATTATTTGCTGACTCTGGAACTGGTTGGAAAAAGCGGAGAGCTGGTCAGTGGTTGGCTTCTGTTGGTACGTCAGGTCTTCCTTGTTGGGGTCTTAGAGACGGTACAATACAGTGGCTAGAGACGTGATCAGACATGGCTCAGAGTAGAAGGCAGTGACGACCCTTCTATAACTTCTACTTCTTCATAAAAATGGATGTAACTTCTTTAACTGAAAGAATCCTTTCTGATTATATTTATGCTAACTGAACTGTTTTTCCCATTATTATTATTTCACTCTCATACACTAATTTCTGTTCGTAGTTGTTCTTTTCTCATTACACGCACTTTACTTTCTCTATCTCTTCACAACCTCATTGTTATTGTGTGGTGCATATTTAATCGGTGCCCCATTGTATTAATCTTTATGTGTTCAAATAAATAAATTAAAGGATAAATAAATCAACAGAACGAGAGTCACCTGAGTATCAATATCTAACGGGTCCTCGCTTCTTTTAAAGAATCATATTTTTTAAAAGCTGTTAAACGATAATTAAGTCCATCCACATAGACCAAGCGTCTGATTTTTAAGACTGAAGAAACAATACCAACCTGAAAAAAAGAATGGAGATGATGTGAACATAAGATGACGTAAAACAACAATTAAATAGGATTTCAATTTGTTAAAATAAAGATACAATAACAACGAAATAATAGCTGTTTATTTGGAACACAAACTGATCGAGAGTGGGATAGAAATGAGCGCTATACTACTGACTGGAATCCACGAAATTAAAACTCAATAAATCATTACAATACTAATCTACTGTACCATTAGTGAATTCCTTCTTCTCTAACGAGTTTTTCCAATATATTTTCTGTTAAAAACAGCTTTAATAAACAAAGATAATACTGACTAGATTCCAGTAAGTTATACTTATTCTGCCCCATCATTATAGTCTAATAATGATGAAAACAAAATTCATTGAAACAAAATTATATAGCTCAAAGCAGAGCTTAAATATTGCAGAATTACCATCACTCCATTACGAATTTCTAATACCGATAAATTTCAGTATAAAAAATCACTGAATGTTTTAAAATGTGATCAAACGAAAGTTAATTAATGTAAATCCAGAACGTCAAGAGAAGTGGATGTGATTTGATTATAAAACAAAAATCGCAACTTCCCAAACTTAAATCCAATCAAGAGAACCAATAATGAGTGCGATAAATTTTCAGGTAGTCTGGATAAAATTGTTAACGTCTTTATTATAGAGAAAAAGTCGTCTTACAAACATATGTTTTACAACAGGATTATAAGATCAAAGAATCAATAGAGAGAGGAATTACAGTAACCGAAAATAAGGAACGAATTCATGAAAATGATGTCCAATTTAGTACTAAATCAGTGAGTTTCATTAATGCTAACACAAAGGACACAACTGAGGTTTTCAAGGATAGAATATCAGTCATATCAGTCAAATCCTGTTAGTTTTCTGAGCTAGACAACTTTCAGTAACGGTACGTTCAATGTGAACAGCATGTAAAGAAATTTGAGTTAGTTTCAGAAACAGCGTTTTAAAATATACTATGTTTTCTCACTAATCAGGTACTCTTTCACACATAAGCCAATCTATAACTGTTAATTAACAAATAAGTCAAACCACAATACTGGCATCCAAATAATTTCGATGTGATAGATGTAGTGAACTTCAGTACTTAGTGTCTCCACCAATCTGATTCCATTTTATCAGGAGAAAAATTCTAATTTTATCCTTAAAATAACATAACTAGCGCATTGTAAGCATACCGAGAAAATATCAACAGTACCAAAAATAATCAATGTCGAAATAACAGTAAACTGTGGTATATAGCAGTGAGTGAGGATGATATTTCTCTACAATCAAAGTTAGGTAAAAACAAGATGGATAACCTTTGAGCATATACATTTTAAAAAATCGATTACTGCACAAATGGAAGAAAGCTACTGCAACCAACAAAATTACTTAATGATTACCTGAAAATTGATTATTGTACAACAAAGACTTTTGAAATTAAAACAACTTCAATTTACAAGTAATTCAGAGACTATTGACAATGTTAAAAGCGTTCAACAATCAACGTGTATAGGTCAATCAACAAGTATACTTCACATATATAAATTTAAAGAAGATTTAAAAGCAATATCATAGGTTTACCAAAAGAGATAAAGGACTGGTGGCAAAAATGTGCCTTACATGTGAAATATTTTATTAACGTCAAAATATCTTGGATAAAAAATGGATTTCAATGGGACTAATACGAGTGAGAGTTCAAGTAAATAAACATGACTCTATATCATAATGATTATCAATTATTTTGCCTTTAGATGCATTCCAACCAAAATTTGAAGAAAGCTATGAATAATTAAGTTGTTTTCATTCTTGAGCATAATGTAAAAAATATTCCAGGAGTAAATTAGGGAAATATATTGGATGTTAACAATATTAGTTTTGAGTCTTAGTAAATTTCTAAAACCCAGTTAATAAGAATCCTGTTATCAGAAGACGGTTGTGGTTTACGATTAACAGATTTTACACGTGCCTGTTTCTTTAAATCATAAGTAGCAATCCAAACAACATTTTATTTTGTTTGAATGAAGTTAACAGTGAGAGAGAAACTTACTCTTCCTTTATCCGGGCCACACAGTATTTGGACACGATCACCTTTAAAAATCAATTGATCTTCAGTAGCATAGGTTGCAACTTTCGTGCTTCTTTGCGACCGTTCGGATGAATAACGCACCAAGTTATATTCGGATATGGGAATTCGGAAAGGCGGTTAGCAACGTTCCAAGGGGGTTTCTCAGAAAAATGCCAAATCGGTAGATATTTTTCTTCTTTTTTCTAAAAGTAATTCAAATACACCTTTAGAGTGAAGAGTCATAAGAAAATTATCTAGTCTGTAAACAGTATTCACTCCAAATAAAAAAACCGACCGTTGTTGCTACCTTGACGTGGTGGTCGGGCTTGCCTATCGTGATGAAGCAACCGAGCTATACTGGCTGGAACAACCGTTCCTCAAGGTCCTACCATGTCAGACAGGTCGGTTGAAGAGCGGTAAGACTAAAAGCAACAAACCCAAGGTCCGAAGGCGAAGTCGTACTGCTGACTGTACAGAGGTGTGACAGCAGTAAGGTGTTTCCTTCAGACAACCAGCATGACAGCGATGCTGCCTTCCCACAAGGAGGGGTGGGGTTAGAAAAGGTCGACCCTAAAAATGCACACCTCGCCTTATCCCACGGATATCCGTCTCCGGCGGTAAGGTCTCAATAAGTACGGAGCTAACACAAAAATTACCCATAACAAGGTCGTGTGTGACCGACCTCAAGCAGTTGTCCCTTGGGCACTGCGGTCACGCTCTCAGGTCACTAAGACCACTTCTAATCCAATTTCCTTTTCAGGTACCTCCAGAACAACCCTTCCACGGTGTGGGCAACCGGGAAGTGATAACCGCCCTCATACTTCTAACAGCACTCAAGACCACTGTATTCATAATCAACCTCCTCTTCAATTCCTATTATTCCTCCTACATCGACTTTCAACTCTGTATTTCCTCTCTCGGCTTCCACCTCAAGTGTCACCGTAGCCAACGATTCTAGTGCGCAAAACACTGTCCCAGGTCTACTGAAACCTCGCTCCAAACTACACATTGGAGCCTTCAACGTACGCACCCTATGTCAAATCGGTCAGCAGGCTTCCTTGGCTAAAACCCTAGAGTCTCTTTCCATTGATGTATGCTGTGTCTCCGAAACACGCATACAGGATTCCAGTGTGGTCATTCACTTGACCTCACCTCGGCAAGACGGAGAGCCAACGAGATACACCCTTCGTGTGTCTGGTGACCCGATGGCAAGTTCTCGTGGACTGGCAGGTGTAGGCATAGCACTAAGCATGAGGGCCGAACAAGCACTGCTAGAGTGGATCCCCGTCAACAGTCGTCTATGTGCTGTTCGGCTGAACGGCTACGTAAGAACTCGGAAGGATAGGGACACACGTCGTTGCCTTTTTGTCGTTTCTGCCTACGCTCCCACTGACTGCAGCTCAGATGAAGTGAAAGATGAATTTTACAGAAAGCTGTCCGAACTTCTTCAGAAAGCTAAACGCTCAGACATAGTACTCGTAGCAGGTGATTTTAATGCTCAGATAGGCAGTTTAAACCAAACAGAAAGGCATTTAGGTGGATATTTTAGTATTCCGACACAGCGAACAGATAATGGTGATCGTCTGCTGCAGCTATGCTCAGACAATCGTTTATTTTTAGCAAACACAAATTTTAAGCATAAGGAGAGACATCGTCTAACATGGCGACCCCCTACACCAAACCAACGATGGACTCAAATAGACCATATTGCCATCAGTCATCGTTGGAGAGGGTCGGTAGAAGATTGTCGCTCATTCTGGAGTACCTGCTTGGACTCCGACCATGCCCTAATACGGGCACGCATCTGCTTGCGCCTCACTGGACGCAAAAAAGCCACATTAAAAAGACCCGTTAGAACTGAGTTGAGTAACGAGAAAACCAAAAGTAGGTTCCAGGAACAACTGAGGTCACACTTAGGTAGTTGTGAAGACGAGGCTGACCCAGATGTTGCTTGGAAGGGCATACAATCAGCTGTGGAAACAGCAGTGACATCTATTAGTGACTTAAACCACAGAGTTACAAGGAACCAGTGGATTTCTTCAAGGTCTGTCACACTGATGGATTCTCGCAAACTCGTCCCATCAGGTTCTGAACATGATGAAGAGCGTAAACAAATCAGATCTAGGTTAAGAAAAAGTCTAAGGAACGACCGTGAGCAGTGGTGGGTAACGAAAGCAAAAGAGATGGAAAAGGCGGCGACTATAGGGAACACAAGACAGCTTTACAGACTAATAAAAGAAACTGGAATTAATAAGTCAAGTGTAAGTGAGATTATTTCGGAAAAAGATGATACTCTCATCTGCTCCCAGTCCAGACGTTTAGAACGATGGGCGGAACATTTTAGAGAACAGTTCAGCTGGCCTTCAGCTACTCTACAACTACCCTCCATTCCCAGACAATGTGAATGGAACATTGAAGTAGGTCCCCCAACTCTTGCTGAAGTTGAGAAGGCTATAGTTAATCTGAAACGAGGAAGGGCAGCTGGTCCAGATGGATTGGCTCCAGAGGTCTTTAAGGATGGTGGTCCAATTTTAGCGATTAGGTTGACTAATATTTTAGCTAAGATCTGGGAATTAGACGTTATCCCATCTGACTGGTCGCAATCACTTATCGTCCCAATATATAAGAAAGGGTCAAAATCATCCTGTGACAACCACAGAGGGATTAGTTTAACAAACATAGTATCTAAAATACTGGCCTCGATAATTATCAAACGCCTAACTAAGACTCGTGAACTACAAACACGAGAGAACCAAGCTGGCTTTAGACCTGGTCGTGGCTGCATCGACCACATATTCACCATTCGTCAGGTTCTAGAACACAGGCATACCTATCGGCGTCCGACGATGGTGGTCTTTCTTGACTTAAAAGCAGCATTTGACTCTGTAGACCGCGAGACTCTGTGGCAGTGTCTGTCATTGAAAGGCGTACCTCAGAAGTACATAAACCTTGTGAAGGCTCTTTACTCGAACACTACTAGTCGAGTCAGGGCTTATGGCGAACTGTCATCTACTTTTGCAACCTCAAGTGGTGTCCGTCAAGGCTGCCCACTTTCTCCATTTTTGTTTAACTTCATCATAGACCTATTGATGGAAATAACACTCTCGTCGACTGAATTCTCGGGTATTGATCTCCTTCCAGGAGGTCCACTTATCGACTTAGAATATGCAGATGACATAGTCCTGTTTGGTGAAGACGCTGACAAAATGCAGAGTCTTCTGGTAGCACTAAGCAACAATGCCAGAATGTTTGGGATGCGCTTCTCTCCCTCTAAATGCAAGTTGTTGCTTCAGGACTGGTCTGCGTCAACACCTGAACTAAGGATAGGGAGTGAAGTAGTCGAACGTGTTGACAACTTCACTTATCTTGGAAGTCTGATCAGCCCTAATGGGTTGGTGTCTGACGAAATCTCAGCACGGATTCGTAAAGCTCGTTTGGCTTTTGCCAACTTACGTCACCTTTGGCGGAGGCGAGATATCCGTCTATCAATAAAAGGACGAGTATACTGCGCGGCTGTCCGTTCTGTTTTAATTTACGGCAGCGAAACATGGCCCTTAAGAGTAGAAGACACCCGTAAGCTACTAGTATTTGACCACAGATGCCTTAGAAATATTGCTGGCATCTGCTGGGATCACCGGGTAAGTAATAGTGAGGTTAGACGCAGGGTATTAGGGAATGATGGTAAATCAGTTGATGAGGTTATGAATCTTCATCGACTGAGATGGTTGGGCCACGTATTACGTATGCCTGAACACCGATTACCGCGACGTGCAATGCTAACCGGTGTAGGGGATGGTTGGAAGAAAGTTAGGGGCGGCCAAACCAAAACGTGGCATCAGTGCCTGAAGTCACTAACTTCTAGTCTGAGCCATGTTGGTAGATGCAGACTACTTGGTTGGGGTCCGCGTGACTTTCGTAACCAATGGTTGGAGACCCTTGGTGACATGGCTCAGAATCGATCACAATGGCGTCGGTGTATACACTCTCTGTCTTCTCTTAAACTAAGAGATTAAGATCACTTCACATCTTTCTTTCTACGAACTAATTCTTTCTTCCTATACTATATCCTTATTGCAATCTTTCTCCTATATATTACCACCTTTGACCTAACCACTCCTATGAATCCGGTGTTCATCTTGCTGTGCTAATGAGGTATGGCAACCTGGGCCGATGCATACATGTGCCTGGTCCTACGTTGTAGCTGACTGACTGACTGACTGACCAAATAAAAAAGTTAAAAATAGATCACGACTCCTTAGTTGGCACATTTCACTACTAGGATCAACACATCAATGGTCTGTTAGTTGAGACCGTAAGTGATATGAAACTAGCTAAGCACACGACGGTGGTACATAGGAACCGAAATGGGAAATATTTCATGAATAGTAACCAAACGCTTTCTTCATTATAAGTGCAAATTCTGGTGCAACAAAGCATTTGAAAAATGCATCACACAAATAAAATGATAACATCATAGAGAAACAGAAGGTACGGTTATACAATATATAAATAAATGGACAAGGTTGGTTCTTACAGTTGACGTAAGAATATACCCAAGAAACATATCTTTCAGTTAAGAACATTTACCTAACTTTTAAAAAAATGTAATGAATGGTTTCAACAGGATTATTCTGAGCTCCTATCTTGAACCATGTATGATGATGTCTCAAACCAGGTTGTTGCACAATATCTAAGGCCCCAGCCAGAAGTCATGGCAGACTGACAGATACCAATCAAATACAGTTGTTCCCATCAACATAGTCATATACCACAAGCTCACTTCTCAGCGTTTCCAACTCGAAATCACTAAATAATGAGTGATGTGAAAGCTGTTGGGATAACATTGTTAAAAGATGTCCTAGCCAACAGAGTCAGTGTTTCAAGATGATGACACTAACTGAATTATCGTTGCTGTGCTCAACTACACACCAATGGACCTCACCATTACTAACATGGTGCTACCACTGGATGTCAGAAATCCTCTGAAGACAACGATGATCAGACACATAAAGTTATGGAACATCCTAGCTCAAGAAAAACAGAAAACGAACACAACTTCTGTTACCAACGCATAGTTCAACCAAAACTAACATCAAGATAGACCTAAAGGTGGTCCATATTTCCATAACCAGCTCAGCTTTTTGCCATACTTGGATCAATCTCATCTACCATGCCTCCACCGACAACCCCAAAACTACTCAGA